ATTAATTTATATTTATTTTCAGCCTATGTCAGAACCAGTCTAAGACTGGATGACACTCACCTATTTTAGGTCTTTTGATACCCTAGGTATCATTTCTTTGTTTCAGAGGGCTTACTCCATAGTGTTTCAAATATATTAAATCTACCTTTGTCCCACAGTAAACACTTTTGTTTGTTTATGTTAAAAATTTGAAAGGATTTTATAAATTTGCCCTTTCATTATTATCTTCTGGCTTTTTTCTTCAATAATTATTATGCATCTTGAGGGATAAGTGCAGGGTAAGATAATCTTAATTATAAGAAATTTCAACTTAGCATAATAAGGTTGAGAGGTTACATTCAACAGGCATTTAGTTAAATATCTCTTAATATCTGATTTGCATCTTTTTTTTTATATTCTAGAAGCCATTTAATTTTTTACAATTTAAATATTTTTCCAGGACCTTGAAAAGTGTATATTTTATCCCTGAGCAATTTTCTCTAGTGCTTAATGAGATATCAGCCCCAGATGTATTTACTTGCAATCTTGACTATACATCTTTAATCCTCTGTTTCCAGACTTGGAGCCTGAAACACCCCTATAGACTGATTTGGATTCTTACCTCTGTCAATCCTAAGCATTCAGTACTTTTCACCATCATTATATTCATCACATTGAACTGCAATCAATAATTTAGTTGTCTGATTCTCAGTAACATAAAAGAAAGGAAATGAGGATATATTCATTCATTAACTCAAATATATACAGCCATTCAAATATATATCTTCATATTCATTACATATATTTAAATGATCCTCTACACCGCATCGTTCTATGCACTAGTGATATAGGGGCAAATAAAAAGCAAGTCCCGACTCCCCAAAGGTTATATTTTAGTTGTACACCTAATTAATTTTGCACCTAAAACATTGCCTGGACATACTGGATATAGTTAACAAGTATTTTTAAATGCACAAATAAAAATATTGCATAATAAAACATAAGAATGTTTGGAGTTACTTAAATTTAGATACTTTAGTACAATTTAAATATGCAGGACAACACATATCTTCACATTATTTGAAATATAATACAACTAAAAATTCTAATCAAAATCAGTTGGAAGTGTAAATGAAATTAAACCTCAGTTGATTAGTTTTTCATTTATTCATAATCTTTCTCCCAAAGGAACTCATAGACCCATCTTCTCATGAGAGACCAAGAGGAGAGTTGAAGGGAGGAAAGGAGGAGGACGGAGAAGAGCAAGAAAAGAGAATGAGATTAAATTTGGAATGAACTTTTCTGGAAATATTGATGACAATTTAAGTCTTTCCAATAAATTTGCAATGTTATTTATAAAGAAAATGAACAATGTAAGTTTCAATTCAGCTAACTCCTAGTAAATCATTGTTTAATGAAAACAAGTAGAGCAGAAAGTAGAATGTTGCATTTGTTCTTAGTATATCCCTGTAGGAACTGGCAGACATCACATTTGTCAAAGTCACAACTCCTTTAGAGTTTCCAGGAGAACACCAGGATCAAAGAAATTAAATAGATAAGATAAAGACTTACATTTTATTTGCAATAGGAGTTTCCCATTTAAGATTCACTTGTTACTATCATTTTAGAACAAGTTAAAAGTATGCCAGTTAGGAATTTTTACCTGACACTAATGGAACCTCTTTTGACAGATTTTTCTGTTGAAAATTATGTGGTGTAAATTGGAGAAAAGAACTGTCAGGTTGGATCAGACATTTTGTATCTGCAGGTGGCTACTTGGCTCATATAGTATTCCCAACGATAGATGGAAAAACTCATCTGTGCCAGAATGTTCTCTACATTATCAAAGAAGGTGCATATTCTCATTCTGTCCAACAAGTATATTTTAATCATAGTTATAATTATTGAATTAACCAATATTCCAAGTGTTAATTTGTTTTTCCAACTTGATGGTTCCATTTGATCAATTTTCTTTAGAGATAAATGAAGTAGTAAAACTTCCATTGTGTAAGTAAGCTTTTTTAATTCAATTATCCACAGCATTTTTTTTTTTTTGCAGTATTTTGTTTTGATCAGTTTTATTGTTAACTAGAGAACTATATTCATGGCCTACATTTTATCAATGTTTGTAGTATATTTTCTTATCAGTTCAAATTTATTTAAAGTTATAACCATATTATATTTTGCTTCCCCACCTTCCTCTTATCATTTCTTCCTTACTTATTACTCACTGACTTTATTGCTATTTCTGGAACCATCTATGTGCAGTATTGCTTGCCTAAGCCTTTGTATCTATTGTTCCTTTGGTCTCGAATATGCTTTCCTGAGATATCCACATACTTTCTTCCTTCAGACTTCAGGTAGAATGTCACCAACTCAGAGAGGACTTCCCTGACTTTCCCAAGTGAATTAATACTCAGCCACCTTCAATCCTCTTATTTTATGGCACCTACCATTGCCTTACATTATATAATGAATTTGTATATTATATGATTTATGGATTGTATAAAATTTAAGTGTCTCAAGGCCAGGCACATCAGTTAGTAGTTAATGCTGCCGAAAATTGTGCCTGGCACCTAGTAAATAATAAAACATTTAATGAATTAATCTTACATATCTATGTGGGTTATGAACAATTAGATCAGTTAAAGTCTATGAAGCTGTTCATGAAATAGAACATTCATAACATCAAGTTAAAGAAAATTCAAATGTAAAAAAATGGAAGCCCTTATATTTGGAATAAAACTTCTCTTTCTTTAGGCTTCCAACAGCAGAAGTCAGAAGGAGATCAGAATGCTGAAGTATTCTGCTGGTCCCTCCGCAGGCCTTTAGGTCTTCATATACAGGAGATTCAACCATGATAGAAATGAGGCCATCACCAGAAGGGCATGAGAGATTGTCAATATGTTTAGAGTACGTTAACATCTAGACTAGCCATAGGATGCCTCCTATGTAAGTCAAAAGGAAGCCCACACATGGTGTATGTTCCTCCTCTACAGGCCATCACTGTTGCGAGTCAAGGGACAAAGTCCCTGTGCTGGTCTAAAGATGTCTATCAGAAGTCAAGAAGAATTCACACATCCTTAGCTGGGTCAGAGAGCACTCTCCTCAAGTGTCAAATAGTTACCCTGAAGCCCAGAACACTCCTGACAAGACCTCACAATCATCCCCCTGCCCCTTTTGACACTCGCAGCCTCATCTCTATGCTCTCTCGGGAAAAATCAGGATTTGATTTCTCATGCCTGCTCTCTCATTTTATGTCCGTGGCTAAAAGGAACCCAGAACTTGCCAGGCATTCCTGGTTCTCAAGTCACTAATCTTCATCATGATTCCTCTCTGTCTCCTGATACCCTTTCACCATGCTCTCTGGAACTCACCAACAAGCCCCTTTATCTTCACTACTTTTATGTAATTTCCCCTTATCTTCTTTCTGAATGAAACCTGGTTCTTCTTTGATGACCCTGCTTCCCGTGCCAGCCTCCAAGAGATGGCTATTTCCCTACCACGCCACTTAAATCACTGAGATTGGAGGTGAAGTAATGTTCTCTTGCTCTTCAGTGTCACTTCCAAAACTGTCTCTTCCCTCCTCCCTAAAACTGCCTGTGATGTCATGACATTAGCAGATACTAGCTGCTACTCCTCTTTAAGAAGTCTTTTACCAATCTCTGATCACTTCCTCTCTTCTGTTAAGATTTTAGCTTTAATTTACTGTCTCTCTTTCCAACGCCTTTCTTGTCTTACCGTATGGCAATTTCAATACGCTTTAGACTTCAAAAACACTAGTCTCTCATTTACTTGACTTCTCTCCCCCAAAGATCTTGTTTTCCACTCTATCACTGTCTTGAAATACTTTCACTATCATGTGATACATGTATCCAAGGAATGTGGAACATGGTATTGACACTTGAGTTTCAGTTTTTGCATATACACTTGGGGTAATAGATTATCTGTTTATTTACTTGTATACCTAGCATAAATTCTTTGCTTAAATCAACTCTAGAAGTTTTCTCTAATTCTATCAGGTAGTAAGGGATCCAATAAAAACATGTATGAATACATATAGGATAATGTAGTCTATGTTTCTCATAAATATAGCAATCTAGAAATATTCTATATTTCTCAAAAAAGGCACAGTAAAAAAACAGGATTGGACATAATGAGAGAAATGCTACTTCAGAGTCTATATTACTGTAGTTTCTGTTGACTTAAATAAGATTAAAATTGTTTAATAACATTAGTACTTCGCCAATGAATCTCTACTACATATTTTGTCTTGTTTTCACCAAATTGTATATTTTCTCCATTGGGATATTTTAAAGTCTCTGGCCCAGATATGAATTGTCTTTATTTTGTTTTCTAAATTATTTTCATAATTTATTCAAATGTTAAATAGTGTATGAATACTGACAAAGAATTTGTTTTAGTAACATAAAATTATTCAAAACATGTTTTTATTTCAGATTTTAAAATATTCAGTTATTTAATATTTCTATTTACTTTTCATGTATGGTATGTTTTCTTTATTCAGGGGGAAAAAAAGCTTTTGTTAAAGTAAAATCCAGTTACTTGCTAGCAGCGCCATGAAATTACTGCTTAGCTGGGTTGTCACTGTAAGCCTTTCATCGTCAGTAGTGAACAATGTTAATGACATCATAACATTATGGATAAAACAATACAGCGTGTTAGAATTTCAACGAATTCTCAAAATATATCAGTTGTTCTTTATCAGAGTCAGAGACTAAATAATGAATAATTTCAAAGTACCTCAAATCCAATTAGTATTTACAAATTGTAATTTGGTTGGAGGAGCCTGAGTGAAATGTTTGTCAAATTCAATGTCTGCCTCCCATCATACCTTTTTCCTTCCTACATTATATTTTCCTATGCAACATATTGAGGTTGTTTGAAGACTGACTATCTTTGAAGATACTGACTTTTAATTTAGTGGAACACCTATTGATTGATTATGAATTATTTGAATTATATTGAAATTCTAAGAATGAATTTGTTTATTTTTATAGGGTACTTGAAGTGTCCAGGTACTTAAAATAATCAATTGGACTGAGCAGATGTACCTCAGGACTTAAGAATTTTTCCAGAAGGAGGTAAGAGATTTTAAAATATGCACATAATTGCATGCTAGTAAGTTCTAGTGAAAATATAGGTATAGTAGTACATTTCTTTGACATATAATTTAGAGGATAATTTTTTTAAAAAATAAGGGTACTTTCTGTTTTTACTTAAGTAATTTTTTATTCTGTGGAATGATTTGAATACATGAGATTGCTCTAACATTTCAAAAACTAAAAAGGTTTGTAGGGAAGCCACATTACTGCTTCAAAATGTCAAGATATGGGTCGCTACTATTTTTTTTATCTTTATAATGCAGGAATTAGACTGCATTTGCCATGTTCCACAAGAGCCACAGGACAGAGATAGTTGACATGTGGGCAGATTGCCATCCAGAAAGATCCTTTGGCTAGCCTAGCCCTTCTATATTTCCTGGACCACATATGGTTACTATCAACTAGAATCCATTCAAAGGCTTGAATGCCAAGCACAGAGGGAGGAGTCAGTTTTTAATGTGTTACACTATCTTAATTTTGACCTAAGATGTGAGACTGAAATATTACCCTTAAAATAAAATACACTTAGAAATATGAATGTATACATATTACTTTTTTTTTTAACCCTCTAACTATAAATGTTCCTCAAGCTTCATTTCATTGTAAGTACAAGGAAAATTTAGCAGCATGAGGTTAACCATCCCATTGTATTTTATATATATTGCTACTGGCAGGAATTGCCATTACAAGTAATAATAAAGGAATTAAAACATATACTTTAAGATCTGTGACTACTGTATAGGAATGGTAATAAAAAAACCCAGAATCTATATATTAATTCCTTTATAGGTTTTTGAGCATAATAACATTCATTTATTAATTTTATTTTTATTTCAGTAAAACTAAGGAGCTCACAATTTTATTTGGTCCCTTGGGATTTAATTAGATGATCATTTCTACTTAATGTACAAAAATGCTTTTTTCCTTGCTTTGTCATTAGTATCAAGAAAAGTAAGATTTTTAAGAATTTTAAGGAAATTATAATTGCTATATGGAAGCACACTTGCATATGCAAACCTTTAATTACATAAGATAAAAATTTGGTGATTTGAGAAGATTGAAGCTGATAAAGTTAGTATCAAGTCCATATGGATTTTTAATGTTTTACAAATGACACATCGTACATCTTTAGTTCTGGTAGGTCATTAAAGATTCCAAAATATGACTTTTGTATTCCCAATTCTCTACACATATATATACATATATACATACATATAAGCATATCTATACATATATATAAATATCCATTATTGGGCTAGATTAATTTTTAGCCTTCCACAGTAATTTCCTGGGTGCTATTTTTTATTAGTGCATCCTGTGCACAAACATCAAACATTATTTTTCAGTAAATAAGAACCTTCTACTTTGCCAATTACAATTGCCTTATAGGGCACCAATAAAGGAGGGAAAGTTCAGAAAATAAATTTCTTGGATACTAATTAAAATCTGTTCCAAATTTATGAAGGCCAAAGTCATACATAGACACAGCATCAATATGATTGTTGTTATTGCCTTTTAATGTATACTTGAAGATCAAGCCAGTTTTTTGAAATTAATTTATAAACACGTGAACAATCTACATGGATGAGTCTTAAATGACTGAATACTATCAATGATGTACTAATTGTACTAATACTCAACTAATGAGTATTTATTAAAGTCAAAGTAGCAAATTGGGCTGAAATCTGATGAAATTTACTTCCAGATACTGCAGGTAAGGGAAATATTTGAAGAATTGAACCTAAAATTCTAGGCTTTGAGTAATACAAATGTAAACAGCGGCTGTTAACTATTAGTTTGTTGAAAAATGTGATCAGGCCATCCCAAATTGGAAGACTTGATACCTTTTCCTTTTTTTTTTTTAATTGATGTCCATTTCAGTGACAAGGTCATTCTATCCCTTAGTTTCTCCCTTTTTAAATTTAATTTTAATTTTATTATTATTATTATTTAAAGAGAGTGAAAGCAGGGGAGAGGTGCAGAGGGAGAGAGTACGCTAAGAAGGCTCCATGCTCAGCACGGAGTGCCACATGGGGCTCGATTTCAGGACCCTGGGATCATGACCTGAGTGTAAATTAGGAGTGTGATGCTCAGTCCACTGAGCCACTCAGGCACCCTTCTCCCTTTATTTAACAGAAGTACACTTAATGAGAATTATTGGCGTGTCAGATGTATTATGAAATATTTAATGTAAAGCTCATAACAAAGATTTCAAGTATTTAAAAAAAATAGGAGGCAATTACAGGAAACTGTAGTTAAGAAAAGGATGTACTAATTTGGACAAGGGAAAATGAGATAAAATTCCACATTAACTAAAAAGGAAAATTGAAAATGTGTGGATGAAAAGGAAGTAAAAAATGATAAAAATGTCAAGAGTATTATATATAATTTATTATTCTACTTGAGATTCATTCTTTATGACTATTGACTAACTTTGATATGTTTTTAAGGAGGTGTCGCAGACAATAGAATGAAATTATACTCCAGACTCATGTAGTTCTGGATTTCCAAGCTGAATCACTTTGTGACCTGGAGAAAATTGCTTTGCCTTATTTAATTGTCTCATTTATATATTGGGACTAGCAACATCTAATTTTACTTGCTTATAGTTTTCATATATTTTGCAATATTTTATAGTTTTTAATTATATGTTGATGTGTACAGTATAGTTTTCCCTTTGAATACTTTTCAAACTATTTTTATTTTATTTTTCAAAAGTGTTCTGCTTTGTTGTTTAAGTCTTATTTTTATATTCTAGATTATGAGCTTTTAAGGATTAAAATATTTTTTCTTAGTGTGCCTGCCCCTTCCCAGCAGTTTAAGGGATAGATAATATTTATTTAGTGAGTGACTGAAAGAAAGAAAAGAACTCTTTTATATAGGCATGTTGCTGCTGAATTGAATTAAGCTGAAGCCCTTTAAAACATTTGAGTTGTCTAAAAATGTCACTATTTTAGAGATAGACATTTTTTTTCAAATGAAAGACAATTTTGACTTATATATCCATCTATTAATTAAACTTGCTTAGTTTTGATTTCTAAGTAGTGTCTCTTAGCTTACAACATACTGATGTTTCATTCTGTTTTAACCACTAAGAGTCTCTAAGGCATTAGAATATATTTTCCTTATCATAGAATTCCCTAGCCATTTATTCTTTTATTTTTTAGAGAGAGAAAGAAAGAGAGTGCACAAGTTGGGGAGAGGAGCAGAGAGAGAGAGAGAGAGAGAGTCTTGAGCAAGCTCCACACTCATTGTAAAGCCACATGTGAGGTTCAATCCCAGGACCCTGGGATCATGAGCTAAGCTGATAGCAAGAGTCACTGACTGAGCCACCCAGGTGCCACTCCCTAGCCATTTTTAAAACAAAGAGAAAAAATTAGGTTGTTCAGTATATAAGAATCATGCTAGAACTGATCTCCCATTCAATTCTAATAACAAGAAACCATCGTGATCTGTACACATAGCAAGCCCTCACTTCCTCACTTTGGCTCAGATGTTAGTGTGCACAGGGTCAGAAGGAGTGCTTTGAGGTGTGTGTGGCTATACTCCTGAGAAAATCCAGCACATGCTTAGCCTCCTCTGCATCTAGTGAGAGTGGAATTAGCATGGCCATGGGTAGCAGAGAAATGTTACTTACCTCTTTGAAAAATTTCATTGTCTGTATGTTTGTACAAATTTTATCTCAGATTCAGACTGAATCATTTATTTATTTTTCTGGCTAATAATTCCTTCATCATACTGTTCTTCCTCCCTCCCCCCTCTTTCTCCGCCTCCTTCTCTTCCTTCTTCTCCTTCTCCTTCTCCTTCTTCATCTTTGATAATTTATGCTAAATGGTTTTAGGCCCACAGAATTTCTGAGCCAGAAGGGATTTAAGAGAACATTTCATTGTTTACATAAGGAAACTAAGGCCAAGATAAACCTAATACAAGTTACAGACACCAGGAACCCAAGCTCCAAACTCTAATTTTAGAGTTCTTTCTTTTATATCATAATATCTTGGGAGCAAGATATTCTTTTTGCTGGACATTCTTTCTTACTCATTTTAGGATTATCTGTTGACAGTTTCCATTATTTATCAGCATTGTCTTCAACTGAAATTTATACTCGTACAGACAAAATAAAGAGGTGACATCCTCTTCTTCCACAAAGAAAAGCTTGTCAGTGCATAAAAATAATTGAGCAAGAAAGATTGGGTAATAACAGAAAAGCATATATAGTGTTCTACCTCAGGGAACAAACCTATTTAGGGAATGACATTTTATGGCTGGCTACATGTATGTTGATATATGTATGAAATGCAAAAACACTGCGCAGGACTCTTGTCTTTATTAAACTCTGTACGATGTGTAGTTTCTTTGGGTAAAAATTCTCTATATATTTATTTTTCCTTACTAACTTTATTGATGGATAATTTAGGGATTATAAACCTCATCTTTTTTAAAGGCTCAATTCTGTGAGTTTTGACAGTGGTGTATACCCATGAAACCACCACCAGAAGAAAGATACAGAATATTTCTATCACCCTGAAAAGATTCTTTACCACCTTTATTTTTTTCATAGCATGCGTTAGTTTGCATTTTAGATAAATGGAATCATATAAGTATGTATATTTGTGTATTTTTTTCACTTTATATAATGACTTAGACATTTATATGTTTGTTCGTATCAGTAATTCTTTTTATTGTTGAAGAGTATTCCATTGAGGGTATACTACATTTGCTTATTCATTCATTTGTTGATGGGTAGTTAGTTGTTTCTTGTGACTATTGTGACTTAATTTTCTATGAGCATTTGTATAAGTCATTGTGTCAACATGTGTTTTCATTTCTCTTGGATACACATGTAGAATTGGAATATCAGGGTCTTTGGTAAGTGTATACTTAACTTTTTAAGAAATGATAAACAGTTTTTCAAGTGTTTTTACCATTTGGCATTCACCTGAGTATTACATGAAATTTCCTGTTACTCAGCATCAAAG